CTCTAAATTTGTGTTTAAAAACAATTCAACAACACTTTGATTCTGTCTGGAAAAACAGTTATGGGTTCCCCTCACTAATGCACAGCAACATTTTAAATGTGGTTTCTAGAATGTCTTGACAGTGTATAAATGACTTATTTAGTGATTTGTTTATTTTACACATACTATTGTATTAGAGTAGGTCACACACTATTGTATTAGAGTAGATAGCACAGGCTGGGTTACTCCAGGAGTACATGAAGAGGTTATTTCAACTAAAGATACTTGAATGGCCTTAAAATCCTACTCTCCATGAAGTCATGAAATATGTAGTTAGAAGAACCAGGCTTCCTGCTCTGTGAGCAGCCCCTACTGGACAATTACTCAAGTTGTGCTGCTGCTGGACCAGAAGCATCTATTCTTCCTCTGTGTTGTGGGGAGGACTTCAAATTTTTCACTTTAAAGTAAACCATGTCACTTTGCTTTCTAATATTGAATGTTTAGCTGAAACAAACACACAATATACATTCGACAGAGACATTCTGACCTTCGTAATATGAACAGTATTATGTTTATCACTAATTCAATTAAAAGTCTTAAATATAATTCATTCCTCCATTCAAGGATGCCTTTTCTACATACTAATCAAAGAATGTCTTCAGGGTTAATTGCTGTAACTGATAATTCTAATAACTATTAAGAAAATTTTATAATAGTCTAAGTAGAAAAAAATGAAAATGGTTTGGTTTTCTCTCCTATTAACAAATAAATGGCAGAGAACGTCTTAATTTATTGTTCCGTGTGGGTCACAGGGCTTAAGTAATATGTAAGCTGATCTACTTTTCCTACTCAGTTACTATTTAAAAATAAATTAGTATAGAAAACACTACATTGAAAACATTCATCACTAACTACTGAATGTGGCTATATTCTTTCACAGCAACTATCTGACTATAATGTAGGTTTCCCCCTCCCCCTCAAAAGAACAGAAGAACAAAAAAACTCTCACTATTTACCAGTATTCAAAAGATGCAATTCCCTTTTTAGAATGAAGTATAAATAGGCACTTTTATAGGTTGTTTGAAAAAGATACCAGACTGTCAGCTCTGGATGCTTTACGTGCCCAATTTATTTACAAGAGCAGCAAACAGAAAAACTTAGTCACACCAAGCTGTATCCCCAGATCTAGTGTAGAGCTATATACTAGATCTCCATTAGTTTTCTGTAGCCCCCGAAGTTTCTTTAAGTGACATCAAGGAATACCAGTTTTAATCCAAGATACATGGGTGGTACAAATGGTTAATGCATTCAGATGCTACACAAAAGGTTGGAGGTTCTAGTCCACCCAAAGGCACGTGTTATGGATTGAATTGTATTCCCCCAAAATGTGTGTCAAATTGGCTAGGCCGTGATTCGCCCTATTGTGTGGTTGTCCTCCATTTTGTAATCTGATGTAATTATTCTACGTGTTGTAAATCCTAACCTCTATGATGTTGATGAGGCAGGACACAATATAGAGGATTAGGTTGTATCTTGAGTCAATCTCTTCTGAGATATAAAAGAGAGAAGTAAGCAGAGAGGAGAGCGACCTCATACCAACAAGAAAGAAGAGGTGGGAGCAGAGTGCATCCTTTGGGCCCAGGGTCCCTGCACTGAGAAACTCCTACACTAAAGGGAAGATTGATGATAAGAAGCTTCTCCCAGAGCCAACAGAGAGAGAAAGCCTTCCCCTGGAGTTGGCACCCTGAATTTGGACTTCCAGCCTCCTAAACTGTGAGAGAATAAATTTCTGTTTGTTAAAGCCATTCACTTGCGGTATTTCTGTAGAGCAGCACTAGGTAAGCCTGGTGATCTACATCTGAAAAATCAGCATTGAAAACCCCATGAGGCACAGTTTTACTCTGACACACATGAGGTCTCCATAAGTTCGAATTAACTTGACGGCAACTGTTGTTTTTGTTTTTTTTTTAATGGAATTAGACTCCCCCCCAAAAATAATCCTCACATATGCCACAAAGAAGTTAAGAGAGAAGATTTGCTGTTGGTTATACTTAATTTCAATGGTCCCTAGGTAGCACAGGACTACTAGCTGAAAGGTTGGTGGTTTGAACTCACGCAGCGGCACCTCGGAATACAGGCCTGGTAATCTACTTCTGAAAGGTCGCAGTCTTGAAAACCACGTGGAGCAGTTCTACTCTGCACACATGGGATCTCCATGAGTCGGAATAGACTCTATGGCAACTAACCACATCATTTAACTTGGGAAATGTGTTACCTAAAGACTAGGATGTAAGGAGCTAAACGACTATTACCAATGTCCTTGGCCAGTGTTTCAAAGTGTTTTCCATAGAACAGGTCTTCCACATTTAAAAAAATGTCACAATCAAATGTTTTGTTTTTAATGTTAAACAATGTAAATATGTCATTTTATTGCAGGACTTCTCACAGCTATTAATTTGCAAAGTACATTGGGTGTCTCCAGAAAGCTTATACAGAATGTTGTATTCCCAAAACTCATCAGGCCAAAACTCTGGACTGATGTTTCAAAAAACACATTTTGGAAAATTCTCTTTTAAGTCATCCAACCTTTCTACTTCTGTGTGTTCTTAAGGAAAGTGATACTTCTTTCCTTTCCAACCCAAGTTATCACATTGTGTACCAACTCTTAAAATGGACCTGAAATATGCTGTCTCTTCTATAACTCACCATTAACCCTGAGACATACGCATTATTAACCCATCTAAAAAATAAAGAATTAAGACTCAGAAATCTTAAGCGGTGTCAGGGCGAGTTAGTGACTTAGCCAGGAATCAAACACAAGATGTGCTCATTGCAAATCCCACCCACTTCCCCTTACATTGTGTTACACAACTGCTGTCTTTTGGTGAAACTCTTCGGTGGTTTCTCTGTTATGTCTAGATCATGTAACATAATTGTGGATCAACATGTTCTACACCACACTGGCAATCCTGATGTTGATCTTTTACCACAGCAGAATACATTAACTTGAATTCTATCTAGCACGGAAAAATGAACACATTTGATTTTATTTAGAACACTAAGCATTCTAAATGCCATCTATAACACCAAAGAGGATGGAGAATACATAAAGGTTAAAATACTCATCAAAGATAAATTTGAAAATAACCAAAAGTAATTTATGTTAAAGAGCAGTTGGAGGTCATCATTCATGTTAGAGGTGGTCTATGTTTTCCTTCCCTTTACCTACAAGCCAAATACTAGCAAGCCAAAAACCACCAAGCAACTTGTTCTGTCTCACAGTAACAAGATATTAATAGCCCATGGAAAAAATCAACATATACTTTAGTTTTACACTGCTCACTTCAGTCCCTCTACTTTTTGGTACGGAAACAAATATAAGACCAGAAAGACCAATACAAAGTGACCCACAAACCCACCAGAAAAGTTTTTGAAAAACATGTATTCAAATTTCTGGATCTTCTTCTATTAGCGTTAATTGGGACAGTTTAAGTGCTTAAATTGGAGGGAATTTCTCTCAGGAAACAGAAGGCACCCCCCCCATGCAGAAAATGAATTTGAGCATGCAAGTTGACCTCAATGGTTTGCTGTTTCTTATACCTCTGAAATTACTGTCCTCAGACACTTTCTCTACACTGATAATTATATCGGTCCCATTCACAGGTAATAAAGGATCCTTCTATGCATGTGTAAGTATTTCAAACCAAATAAAATTAGTATTTTTTTCTCAGAGTGCACAGTTGATTTGGTGTCAATGTAGTTGTAAATGTACATGAAGATATAGATATCTCCAGAGGAGTCATTCAGACATAAATACGCGTTAAACAAATATCTGAAAACATCAGTACATTTGTATTTTTCTGGGTTTTGTTTTGTTTCCATAAAATTCCTTAGTAGGGGGACTATGGTCTTGGGAGACATCTAGCTCAATTGGCGTAACATAGTTTATAAATAAAATGTTCTACATCCTACTTTGGTGAGTAGTGTCTGGAGTCTTAAAAGCTTGTGAGCGGTCACGTAAAATATTCCACTGGGTCTCACCCCTTCAGGAACAAGGGAGAATGAAGAAAACAAGATACAAGGGAAAGATTAGTCCAAATGACTAATGGACTACAACTACCACAGCCTCCACCAAACTGAGTCCAGCAAAACTAGATAGTGCCTGGCTACCACCACTGACTGCTCTGACAGGGATTACAATAGAGGGTCCCGGACAGAGCTGGAGAAAAATGTAAAACAAAATTCAAACTCACAAAAAAAAAAAAAAGACCACACCTACTGGTCTGACAGATACTGGAGAAACCATGAGGGTATGGCCCCCGACACCTTTTTAACTCAGCTGGGAAGTCACTCCAGAGGTTCACCCTTCAGCCGAAGATTAGACAGGCCTATAAAACAAATAATAACACACACATTTCAACTGTGTATACAAAACTAAATGGGCACACAGCCAGCAGCAAGGACAAGAAGGCAGGAGGGGACAGGAAAGCTGGATGAATGGAAATAGAGAACCCAAGGTTGAGAAGGGGTTGGCAGGGTTGGCAACCAATATCACAGAACAATAAGTGTATTAATTGTTTAATGAGCAACTAATTTGCTCAGTAAGTGTTCACCTAAAGCACAATTAAAAAAAAAATTCCTTAGTGGAAAACTACACTGACAAGTTACCAGATTACAATGAAATATGTTTTTTGTCATCTGAGTGAGGGGATGTAAATTTCCTAAAGAAAACCAATCTACTCTATTCTCAAAACTGATATATCTTTTGATAGAAACACACACACACACACAGAATGTTGAAATATGCTAGTTATATCATCTACATCTGGTTTGCAAAATTTTTTGCCTGATCCTATATTTGCTCAACTTTAAAGAGAAATTTCTTCCTAAACAATTACATTTATCTCTTCGTTAGGAGGAAAAAGAATACACAGTATATATTATAACAGCAGTTTTTGAATGAGTGGTACTTGAAAACAATTTGATACAATTGGAAATAGCAAGAATGTTCTGTCTTTCAGAACAGCAGGAAGAACACAAGACGACCTCTCCTCTAAGTGGCGAAGAGGAACAGACTCTTAACATGAGAAAAATTAAGGTAATTGTTGCCTCAGAAGAGAAGGATTGGCTGAACAGTTACAATCCTAGCCACCCTTGCAGCATCAATCTGCAAAGGAGAGTCAAAGTTTAAAGATACAGCTTCAGGTCAAATAAAAAATGAAATATCCCAATACTCCTATCATACAATCTGTGAACAGTTATGGGATATGATTTGCAAATACTTGAGTTTCATAAATGCAAATTGTGGCCTCTGCATCTCAGGATATCTTTGCCAGAAACATAGCTCTGTGTACCCTCGAAAGCTAAAATGCACTTCAGTTCATATCTAACATTTGGAAATATGAAATCTGAATAAAAACTGCCTCCGTTACCATCAGATAAGGGGGCTCTTGCAGAAAGGGTTGAGAAGCAGGCAGCAATGCACTGGCTGGCTGGAATTGAACTTGTATTCCTTTGTACCAAGCCTGGGGCCTCATTCCACAGTCACTGCCTCCACACCTTTGTCGAAGAGGCTCAGCCCATTTGATGAAATACCACTGTTTGACATCAATAAATCTTGATTTAAGGTGATAAAAGTACTCATGGAAGAATGTCTTATACACCAAAACCAAAAACCCATTGCTGTTGAGTCAATTCCCATTCAGGGAATTCATAGGACAGAGCAGAGCTGCCCCATAGGATTTCCAAAGAGCGGCTGGTACATTCAAACTACCAACCTTTTGGTTAGCAGTCAAGCTCTTAACCACTGTGCAGTCAGGGTTCCTCCTTATAGCCTTATACACATGAAAATGAATTTGTGTCCTTCCTCGTACCACCTATCTTAATAAAATTTGGACAATTTGGATTATTCTGTCTCCCTAGAGAGTTACAGTTGACTTGTACATCAAAAATGCTTACTTTAAGCCAACCACAGCCTCAGAAAAATACACCACCAACCAAATCAACAATATCCTGCTTAAATCAAAGGAAAACTGTTCTTTGATTTTTCATGATTCTAATGGCTATAAGCATAACACGTGCCATAAATCCATCAGGCTAAGCACTAGTCTTGTTGCTGCCATGGATGCACAAACATGACTAGAATTAACATTGCTGTAAAACCATAAACAGACAAAAGCTGTGTCCTCAGTGGGAAAAACTCTCCAGCAATATCAGGCACTACACTTCAGTTAAGAGAATTTTCAAGAGCTTTCTTAAATATTCCTGGTGGGACTCAATGGTTGTAATTATTTTTCTTTCTCTCTTGCCTTTTGAATTATTCCAGTCTCATAATTTAGAGACTCTGCAGCAATTACTATTGACCTTTGTGGCATTGTGTCTTGGCCACATCTTATCAGAAAAGCCAACAGATATTTCTGCATTTGGAAAATGATAATGGAGGCTGCTTCCTCCGTGTCCTAGTGTATACTCACTGTTTATTCCATAGTGAGAGAAGAAAATGTATTATTCATTAGGAATTTGCTATGATGCTTACAAGAGAAAATTCTCAACCATTCAGGTTAAGGATTTCTTCCCTGAGGTTAGGGTAGGCTCTAGCTGTCAAGTTTTACATATTGATGGTGTTTATGTTAATGATAACTTATTTTTCAATGTAAGTCTTTTGTGAAGTGTATTTTTCATTTAGCTGCTCCTACTTATTAATTTTAATTCAAGTGAGAGAATGCAGGTTTAGAAGCAATAAAGTTAAACCGCTTTGAAAATAGGCTACACTTGAGACTTCCATTAAGTTATACTGCCTTTCCCTTATGTCTTCTAAGTCAGCGATGTTTTAATTTATTTTACTGGAAAATGGTGTGTGCCATGTAGCTAACAACAGCCCAAGTGTCTCATGGAAAGATATTTACATGTCTTAACCTTCTTTGCAACCGTAAGGATCCTTGTCATTTTGACTTCCTTGCAGCTAGTGACCTCTGCCCTACCCCAATTTAAAGATAAACTGAAAGACATTTCCCTTGTATGTGTGCTCCTTCTAGTTTTTCAGTGGAAGCAGTAGGATCTTTCTATACAACCAATTATCTCCTATTTGAAAGCACATGCGGGCAGGGTAATTGGTTATTGGAAGGAGGAGATTTAGAAGGAAGTAAACGGGAAAAAAATGATGTGCCAGCTATAAGATATAACCCCAGACTTCAATATCAAAATTAGGAAAAGAAAACTATGAGAGATAATAAACATGAGTCAGCTTTTATCAGCAATGTATGTGAACATATGAAAATATTTCTAAAACAATTGATTTTAAAATTAGACTGGAATTGTTGCTAAGCCAATCATCTCAAATCCAGAAATTGCATATTATTTATAAAATTTGTTTATAAACACACTAGAAACGGGGTATTCATTATTTCGCAATTTACAGAAAAGCATTCCCTGTGTCACTGCTAAACTAAGGCTGGACAAAATAGACTCATAGACTTTATACGATTGCATTTCCCCTCGACCTCCTCTTGCTCCTTTGATGAGGATATGATGCTTTTGGTGTTGCTTTTGAAATCATGTTTTTTAGTTCCCTTATTGATAACAAACTAAAGAATTTAAGAATGGAATAATATCAGAATGATGACTAGAAGTAGAGAATTATTCTAAAGAGTATACACACATATACATATATATGAACATACAAATGTGTGTATGTGTGTATATATACATACATAAGTACATATATAGTGTCATTTTTATTCAGTGTCTAAGTTATATGGGCTGTTTGTGGGGTTTCCCTGTTTTTAGCTTATAAAGGGAAATCTGATAGCCATCTCATTCCTTCACACATTACACTACAGAAAAAATCTGTAATAGTAAAATGGGTATCTAGCCAAACTTCATAGTAGATAATGGGGAAAATTTACTGGGTACAGACTAAAATGATCTTTATTACAAGAAACTACACCTCAACATACAATGGAGGAAAATGTCTTCCTTGTGAGAAAACATAGTAAAATACATCCATTTTAGTAGCTGTGAAATCCTGAAGAAATACACAGCTTCCCCCCTCCCTCCCTATCTGAATTCCTATTCATTTTGAGTCAGGCTATCCTAGGCCATTAATTAACCTCCAGGTCCTTGAGGTCACCTCCTTGGATCTGTTCTCTCTATAAGAAAAAGATTTATTCCTTGGTGAATATTAAAGATACCTGAATATTGACGATGTTGCCAAAATAATGATGTATTATGTCTACTTAAATGCCTGGAGTTGGAATAATGAAAGGATACAAAATTCACTAAAGTAATTGTATATACCACAGGGGTTATTTACCCCAATATAGAAATTTTCTTCCTGTCAATGGGAAACTTATAATAGTATCAACTATATCTTAAAAATATTATCACAAATTAAGACAACTGTTGAATATCTGTTGTTGCAAGAATCTTAAACTAGTTTGTGGTTTTCCAAGCAAGTATACATGAACGGAGCCAGCATGACCAGTGAATTGAGTGGATGATATATTTAAATCATACTTATTTAAATCAATTATACTATTTACTCCACAATTCTTCTGTCAGTTTGTCTTACTGTGGTGGCTTGCATGTTGCTGTGATGCTGGAAGCTATGCTACTGGTATTTCAAATATCAGCAGGGTCACCCACAGTGGTCAGGTTTCAGCTGAGCTTCTAACTAAGACAGAGTAGTAAGAAGGACCTGGCGATCTACTTCTAAAAAAATTAGCCAGTGAAAACCGTATGAATAGCGGTGGAATAGTGTCTGATATAGTGCCAGAAGATAAGCCCCTCAGGTTGGAAGGCACTCAAATATGGCTGGAGAAGAGCTGCCTTCTCCACGTGGACCTTAATGACATGGATGGAGTAAAGCTTTCAATACCTTCATTTGCTGATGTGGCAAGACTCAAAATGAGAAGAAACAGCTGCAAACATCCATTAATAATTGGAAAGTGGAATGAACCAAGTATGAATCTAGGAGAGTTGAAATAGTAAAAAATGAAATGGAATGTGTAAAGATCAATATCGTAGGCATTAGTGAGCTGAAATGGACTGGTATTGGCCATTTTGAATTGGACAATCATATGATCTACAATGCCAGGAATGACAAATAGAAAAGGAATGGCATTACATTTAATCATTCAAAAGAACATTTCAAGATCTATCCTAAAGTACAACTCTGTCAGTGGTAGGATAATATCCACACTTCCACAAGGAAGACCAGTTAATACTACTATTCTTCAAATTTACATACCAACCACTAATGCCAAAGATGAAGAAATTAAAGACTTTTACCAACTTCTGCAGTCTGAAATTGATCAAACATGAAATCAAGAAGCACTGATAAGTACTGGTGATTGGAATGTGAAAGTTGGAACCAAAGAAGAAAGATCAGTAGTTGGAAAATATGACATTGGTGATAGAAATGATGCCAGAGATCTCATGATAGAATTTGCTAGGCTGATGATATATTCATTGGAAATACCTTTTTTCAACAACATAAACGGTGACTATGTACATGGACTTTGCTGGATGGAATACATAAGAATCAAATTGACTACATCTGTGGAAACAGACTATGGAGAAGCTCAATATCATCAGTCAGAACAAGGCCAAGGGCCGACTGTGGAACTTGCTCATATGCAAGTTCAAGTTGAAGCTGAAGAAAATGAAAACAGGTACATGAGAGGCAAAGTAGAGCCTTGAATATAACCCACCTGAATTTAGAGACCATTTCAAGAACAGATTAGACGCACTGAACACGAATGACCAGAGACCAGGCGAGTTGTGGGATGACATCAAGGACATCATACATGAAGAAAAGTAAAAGGTCATTAAAAAGACAGGAAAGCAAGAAAAGACCAAAATGGATGTCAGAAGAGACTCTGAAATTTGCTCTTGAAAGTAGAGTCGCTAAAGCAAAAGGAAGAAATGATTAAGCAAAAGAGCTGAACAGAAGATTTCAAAGGGCAGCTCTAGAAGACAAAGTAAAGTAGTATAATGAAACATGCAAAGACCTGGAATTAGAAAACCAACAGGGAAGAACACACTCAGCATTTCTCTAGCTGAAAGAATTGAAGAAGGAATTCAAGCCTCGGACTGCAG